CCACCGACGGCCGAAACGCACCCAGGCTCCTGCGCTACCTATCGCGACAGCCCCATTGCTGCCCACCGCCCTGTGTCGCGGGAAGGGGGGGCAGGAGGGAGCCGCTTACCCGAGGCGGGCGGTGCGGGACCGGGGGGTGGCGGTGCCCGCTCGCCTCCCGCAGCCCCGGGCTCACAGGGACACCGCCATGGGCCGGCCGGGGCTCGGCGGGGCAGGAGGGGGTTTTCTCGGGGGTTTCTTGAAAGTGAATTTAAACCCGAACTCACTCCCACCGTCACGTGGTGCCGAAATTGGGAACAGGAGCAGAATGCAAAAAAAAAAAAAAAAAAAAAAAAAAAAACCGGGGTCAACCTCTTAATGAACCTTTTAGGGGAAAAAAAAAAAGGTCCTGGCGGGCTGGGGGATGCGAGAGAGGGAGCGGCGAGCAATTCCCTCAGGAGCCGGTGGGCCGGGACCGGGGCCGGTGGCAGGTGAGACCGGGCCGGTGGCGGGCCCCGACGTGCGCCTGCGGGGCCGGGGCGAGGGGATCCCCGCTCCCGTCCTGCCCCCGCACAGACAGAGCGGGGGCCGGGGAGGGCCTGGGGGTGAGGAGCCGTCCCGGTAGGGACGCGGTGGGAGCGGGAAGGCTCCGCTCCGCCCGGGGGTCCCGGAGCGCGGCTCGCCGCGGTGGTTTCCGCGGGCCGCGGTTACCTCTGAACCACGGGCCGGTCTCGTACTCCAACCCCACGGCCGCGGGAGCGGAGAGAGCGCGCAGAGCCGCGGAGGGTGGTCCGCTCGGACGGCTCCGTCCCGCTACCGGTTCCCACCTGCGGGCCGGGCTCTTCCCGCAGGTTGCGGGGCCCGGGACGGCCGCGGAGGACCGGGCTCCGCAACAAGGTGAATTTTCGTGTTTACTCTGCGTCTCGGCTTTGTTTGGGTGAGTCTCCCTCCACCCCTTCCTCCCGCAGCTGCGGACACTGAGAATCACGGACGTTTCCCTACGTTAAATGCATTATTTTTTTTCCCTCCTTGAAGAGACAAAAAAAAAAAAAAGGCGGAGGGACGATCCCCAGGTGAGGAGGATTTAATTAAAGCAAATTAATTAAAGCAAAGCCAAAGCCTCCCTCTCCTCCCGCCAACCCTCAGCCCTCCCCGTCGGTGCGGCGGTGTCGGGCCCGTTCCGTTCCGTGCGACACCGGCTGAGGCTGTCCCCGCTAGGCGAGACGACGGGGTCGGGGTCGGTGGGGCTCGGCCCGGGGCTGGGGGACACCGCGGCCGGTTTCACCGTCCCCGACCGGGGGACCGGGGCCGACGCCGCGGGGGCGAAAGCCTCCCCCGCCGGACGGAGCCCCCTCGGCTGCGGCAGCGCCGTGCGTTTCCCGGAGGCTCCGGCAATTGACGGCGAGGCTCGAAACCAGCCCGACTGTCATCACCCGGCAGATAAACGGCCGGATCCCCGACGGCAGGGTGGCTCCTATTCACGGCTCATCATCGCCGAGTGAAAGGAGCAGGCAGGGGGAGGATAAGCCCCGCTTTCAGGGACCGGCTCTCCAAACCACTCATCACTGTCACCGAGTTCGCTCATGCCTTGGCCCTAAACACCGGCGATTAATAAAAGTTTACTGTCGCTTTTCTCTAATAATTACACTCAGTCCGCGGGCCGGGAAAAAACCGAGCGGGCACCGAGCCCCGCGTTACCTGCGGGGATGCTCCACCGCTTTTCCAGCGCCGCTCCCTTTGGCTCTTCTCCTCTTCCCCCTCCCTCCCCGCCCTCCCCTGCAAGAAAACCTGCTTCTTTCCCTCCCAAAAAAACCTGCCGGGCACGACGGAGGCGAGGGGAGAAGCGACCCCCGAGCCCGCAGCCCGTACCCGACGGCCCCGACGGCGGCTCGGTTCGGCGCCCCCCGTTTCTACGGGGCCGGCTCCGGTCCCCGCTCCCGTGAAGCCAGGAGCGAGCCTCGGCCCCGTGGGTTGGCACAGATTTATTGGTTTGAGCGGAAACTCACCGGTTGACACTGCCGAGGAGGGTTTGAATGGAGGAGGACTGAGAAAAAGTTGCCGAATTTGGCCAGTAATAAGGCTGGAAGAATGGAGTACTAATACTGAATTATGCATGGACTGGGGAGGAATCACACAGCATCGGACTCGGGCTTCTAGACAGGGACAGTGCCAAATTTCTAATAACTGTGTAATATGCTTATTTATACCATACAAGGACTTACAAACCTCATTGTGCATAGCAGCTGGGTCGTATTTCTTTACCCTTCCATTCCTCAGGCTCTTTTGCCAAGAGACTGGTACCAAACACTTCTAGGCTGAAAGGAAAACACAAAATTAAATTGCAAAGAAACGATGACAGGAAGCATGGGTAAGATACGGGCTGACACGCGGCCCTTTAATCTTAAACATCTGACTAAAATAGATGCACTAAGGGGGTATTGAAAATATGCACGGGTTTAAATGCAAGCGGTTCTCTGCTGCTAAATCATTCGGCCGAATTATCCGCGTGTGTTTGCCTGACCTGGGCACGTTTGGAGGCTCCAAGGCTTTGTTTTAGACGATTAAGTAAATATTTTAACGAATGTTTTAAAACGTTGTAAACTAACGTGTTCCTCAGCCTCGCGCCAGGCTCCAGCGAAACGGGCTAAATCAAACGAACAACGATATTCCGATTTGTTTTCAAATATTTGGGGGATTATTTGATAATTTTGTCCCAGTTTACTTACCCCTCGCAATTTCAAGCCAGTCTACGTAGGATGCAAACAGGCATTGTTCACTGTGTAACCACTAATAATTAAACCGTGAACGAATATTCATTTATCTAGACATTTTTTAAAAGCTTAAGAATTTTACAAATAAAAGCAAGCAATCGTGGAATCGTTTTAATTTTCAAAACGAACACTAATTTTATCTAAATGCTCCGGATTTTTATTTCTGGATATGCTGGCTCACTGTTTGTCAAAGTAGCATCTAGAAAAAGAACTTTTCAAGTCCATCGCACGTTCTGTACGGAAGAAACTTTGCCGTGAGCTCGGCAACACTCTGTATAAGAACAAATAGTCCAGAGATCACTGCCCTGGTGAACGTCAGCCTGAGTTAGTCCCCAATGGTCTCTGCTAGCCAAAGGTCTGCTTTAACTTCAAGAAATATATATGTAAAAAAATCGCCCCATCTGCTTTGCAATTACTTTTTTGTTTTTTAATGAAAAAAGCCCTACAGCTACAGCAGGCTGGAGCATGGGAGGCGGCAAACGGGGGCCACGCCAGAACGGGAAAGAATGGTTTAAAAAAAAAAAAAATCAAAGGGGAACAATGCCCCGTGCTCGGAGCGCTGGGATTTTGCTGCAGCTCCGCTCCGCTGCCTGCCCCACGCCGAAATGGTGAGGGGCTCTGAGCAGGCCCTGCCATCTCCACTCCCCTCATGGCAGGTCGTAACCTCTGGTTGCTGGTTAGATGGGCCATGGTCACCAGCACGGCCAGGTAACCTTGGCCAAGGCCCTGAGGACAGCCCAGGAGAGAAGGGACTCGGGCAGCGGCGTGAGGGTCGGGGTGGCTGCCTGATGAAGAGCAGCCCCAAGGCAGCTCAACATCCCATGGACCTTGGTGGGGCAGGAGGAGGACGCGTGGAACCTCCTGGGTAAGCTCCTCCGGAGCCCTCGGAGCAAAACTGAGACTCACATAAATCCACCAAGTGACAACAGCGCAAGTCACTTCTCACCAGGCATGGAAGAAAAGAGGAGAGGATCGTCTCAGAAGCCTTGCATCAGAGCAAGAAAGTGCCTCGAGGTACTGCAAAACCAGCCCAGTGCAGTCAGAGCAACCCGCCCGTGGCTCTGCAGGGTGCCCTTGGCATCCTCCACCCCTCACCCTGCAGGGAGTGAGGGGCTCGGGGCGAGTCCTGCCCAAAGTGGTTGTTTAATTTGTGCTGGGGAGGAAGTCACTGCTATGGGAAATCACTGTTCTCCAGAGAGAAGAGGGAAAATGATGGTCTGGGTGAGAAATTCCCAGTGGGAGGGATGAAGGCAGCCAACTGCCAGCGCCGTCCCTGCCCTGGAGCTGGGTCTTTGGGTCCCTGATGTGGCACAGCAAACTGCTCCACGGTGGCAACCAGGGATAGCCAGTTTAAACAGTCACATTTAAAGGTTACACCCCAATGGGGACCCTCAGCCTCTGGGACAGACCCCACTGCACAACAGCCTGAGCAAGGCAGCACAGGAGTGTGTGTCAGTGGTGCCTGGTGAGCACCGCCGTGCTTTGGGATGGAGCCTGCAGCCCACACTCCTGCTGTTTACCTTGGTGTCCCCGTTGCTATTTGGGCATAAGCATCATCTCAGCTACCAGCAAAGCCACCACCCCCCAGGCCAGCACACACAAGCCCTCACTCCCCCACCAGCAGCTCTTCTTGGCCAGTCCCTTTCCACCATGGTGCTGCCCAGAGGGAAACCTCCTCCTTCTCCCTGGGCTGGGGCCAGACCCCACAGCACGGCAGTGGGGCGAAGCAGTGCTCAGCACTGTGGCTACAGGCTGGGGGGACACTGCTGGGGGGACACCCCCTCTTTCAGGCTCAGGGGAAACACTAACCCACGAGCAAACAGAGACCCTGGAGATTTAATCACTTGCAAGATGCCTACGATATCCGTGTATCACGCTCCTGGGGGGGTCAGTCCCGTACTGGGTCCTTGCTAAATCACCCAGATTTAAGGGGGGTGAGGGTTTTGGGGTGCTGGGAAGGCAGCTGGGATTTCAAAGGGTGGAAGGGAGTGGTGAGCAGCGTCTCCGAGCGTAGGGGCTCACGGGCTGGAGCGGAGAGAGGCACGACCACGCGTCCGGATGTGGGGCTGCCGGCGAGGAGGCGGCCAGACGGGATGGAGGAAGGCGAGGTGAGAGGATGAGGGTGGGGAGGAAGGGGGCTGGGTGGGGGGTCTGGGGAGCAGCAGGCTGCGGAGGGAAGGGGCTGCCCCAGGGAGGCGTTTTGCTTCGCAGGGCAGTGCGATGGCCTCAGGTTTCTGCCCCACAGATGAGGGGGGAGCAGCTGTGGGGCCAGCCCCAGCCCTGGGAGGCTGCAGAGCTGCTGGGGAGAGAGGGAAGGAAGGGGGAATAATAGGAATAGGAAGCAAGTCAGCAAAGCCCATCAAAATTCCCCACCGCATCCCTCTGCTGTCAGGACACGCTGGGGTGGGATTTCCCCCAAGCATCTCTCCTAAAGGGGCAAACCCTCAGGCTGGCTTTGGTTCCTGGTCACCCTGCTCACCAGGAAGCCACCCCACATTGCCAGGCAGCCCTGGGACGTGGCAGCTCACTCCCCGACTCCGCTCAGTCCCATCCCTCCCACGCCTCTGTCCTGCTCCCGGGACGCTGCGATGAAACACACTCCCTGGGCTGGAGCAGGGCAGGGCCAGGGCTGGGATAAAGGCTGTTCTCCATTTTGGGCATTTTCCTCCTTGCCCAGGGAGTGGGGTGTCTCTGAAAGCAGGGCTCAGCCTTTTGGGTGGCTTTGCCCCCATAGTAAAGGGGGAAAAGCTGCTACAAGGCATCACGCTCCCATTCCTGGGGGGCATCCTCAACAGGAATAAATGGGAAGGGAAACAATAGTCAACTGGGACAGGGCCCAGAAGCTGGGATTTTGCTCCTTGTGGGACATGACGTGCTGTGGAACCCCAAATGCTGCCTGTAGAAGGAGAGAAACTGGGAAGAAGGGAGAGATGGAGTGCTGGAGCAGAGTGTGCTCCCTCTCCTGCATCTGCCCCTGGCTCCAGAGAGGAGAGAAAGGATGGCTGAGATTCATTAAATAAAGAGACAGGAAAACCTTGCTTAAGGAGCTGTCTGGGAAAGGGGCCATTTCAGGCCTGCTGTATGTGAGTGCCAGTGATTTGGGGCCAGAATAGACAATTGCTAAATATTCCTCTGGTCTCTGCTGTGCAGGGAGCTGCTCTCAAGCGTACCAGTTACAGAAAGTCGTGGGGAGCTTCATGGTGCTTTTCTGCCTGGGATGGGAGACCAAGCTGGCTCCATCAGGAGAACAGAAGGAAAAAAAAAATCCCCCAAATGAGCAGTTTTCCATCTCACACACAGCAGCTCAGGGCACTGACCTGGTCGTGCAGCAGGGCCGGGGCAGCTCCAGCTGGAGGAAGGGCATCGTGTGTCCTCAGCTGGGTTGAAGGATGTGGGTACACACATCTCACCATGCAGTGGGAACAGTGGGAGGGATGGAGAAGGGTCCTCTTGGTCAGTCTGCACCTGTCAAAAAACCAACAGGATGAAATCTGGGGAGAAGCAGAAGTAGGGACAGCGGGAGATGCTGCTCGTGCCCATGGAGCCCCGTTGCTCAGCACAGTGGGATGGAGAAGGTTTGCACCATTGAGTTTCAGCACGACCACTGCTATGGAGGGAGAGCAGGGGCTTCTGCCTCTACCATTCCCCACCCTTAGCTGTGAGCCAGCTCCAGGATGGGATGAAGAGGGCTCTGCCCCAGACCTCAATCACTGCTCCACCACCACGAGCATGCACCCAGGCTGGTGGTGGGGACACCTTTATGATCCTGACGCAGAGAAACCAGGATTTGGGGGTCCCATCCTTCCTCTCCCCTGCTTTGCCGTGTTCCTCGCTGCTCTGGATTGAACCTTCAGCCCTAGAAAGTGTAAAAAACATGGATAAGAATTGTTGGTCGGGTGCTTTCTGTACAAGCATCCTTCTTTGCTTTCTCCACAGCGAAGGAGGACGCTGCAGCTTTGCCTCTGTGCTGGTGCCACCAACACAGCACAGAAAAGCCACAGAGCTCAAGATAAATGCCCTGAAACAGATGAAATCAGCCGGGAACACCTGATACTCATTCCCACAAGGTTATGGTAAAGGTTGGGAAAAGAAGGAAGTGCTGCACTGGCATGCTGGCAGCAAATCAAAGCAAATGACATTAATTAAAGCACATGTTAGGAATAGGAAATTAGGCTAAAGCAACATTTCATCTACGGCGTCTTCTCTGGGCACTTTAGAAAGGGTATAAGTTTACTGTAGAGAAAGAGAAATGAGGAGGCTGGTGCAGAGGATAGATGTGCGGGACGTTAAAAGAATTAGAGGAGAGTTTTAAAAGCTTTAGACTATACACTCAGGGTCATGTTCACTCCCTGTATTTATTTTGAATTGTGAGTGAACAGGAGGACTGAGAGTGCTGGCTGGCACCGCGGGGAGCCGACCCCAACGTCCTTGGTGAGGGGGCTCAGCCCCAAAATCCTGACCCTCCGCCCTCCTCCCTGCACGTCTGCACCAGGCACAGATGGCCCTTGGCACTCTTTTATCCACTTTTGCAAAAATACTTGTTCTTTCCCAATTTTGCTTTTCTCCAGCTCACTCCAGAACTTCCCAAAGCTCAGTGCACCTCCCCGGGGACAGGGGGACAGGAGCACCCCTGTCCCCTGCACAGAGGGGAAACTGAGGCACAACAGGACTAAGAGTTCTGAGCAAACAGCAGCTGTGGGGCTGGGGGCACCGGCCAGGGCTGCACCCCAACCCCATGGGGAAGCACCAGCAGCCCCCCAAGCCCCCCCGTGCCAGGTCTATCTCAGCCATGGCCCCTTCTCCTGCTCCCGCCCTTGGTGCTGGCAGCGATGCTGCAGTCCCGACCCATCGGGTGCGTTTCTGGGGCCATACTGACTCACCAGCTGCCCGTGTCATTCCAGGTCACCCAGCTTTTATTAATCAGCCATTTCAGGGCTGCCTGCCTGCCTCCTCGTGTCGGGGCTGCAGGCAGGGCCAGCCCATGGCCATTTTTCTGCCCCAACGTGGCCTCCCAGCCAGCTCCCTGCAAGCGATGGTGCGTGCAGGTGCCTGATGTCGAAGGGCACCAGGGACACAGATGTCCCCATGATTTGGGGTGACATCCCCACTGCCCAAACCGTGCTGGGAGCTGTGATGTGCAGCAGCAGTGGAGCAGGGCAGGCTTTCCACCCTGCTTCCCTGAGCCATGCCCTGCTGCACGGGTCCTCCTCACCTTCCCCCTCTCCATCCACCGTGCAGCCGGGGAGCGCCGGGCAGAGTCAACGCTTGAATAACGAGTTCCCAGTGAGAGAAAGCGGGCAGCAGCCTGACCCCGGGCGTACTCCTCCCGAGCTCTGCTCTGCTCCCAAACCAGCTGCTATTTTTCCCCCGGAGCCATAAATTGCACGCCGGGGGCCGGCAGCCTTCGCGCGGTCGCCCGCTGCGGGTGTCCCCGGGATGAGTTACGAGGAGCGAGCGCCGCAGCCAGGGCTTCGCTCCAGAGCCCCAACGCCAGCGAGG